GAGCGTTACTAGTCTCTATCGTTTATCGTCAATTGCATTTAACACCCGTTCAGCATTGGTTCTAAATTTAGCCAAGAATTATATGAAAACGAATCCAATGTATATGCATATCTTGTTCATAATCTACTAGATTTATTTTCGACTCACATTCGTTTTACTAAGTGAAATACGAATGGTGGCTGATTAAATTTATATCCTAGTTTGATAATGCATTTTTGTAATATTCTATAGCTTGAAGTTCTTTTTCGATTCTTTGAATAGGAACTAGCACTGCATGACAGTTCCTCTGAACTTGAACTAATTCATATGGCTAGTTCTTTTGAAATAGAACTGATCGAAAGTCAGTTCTTTTGAACTTCAACTATTTTATAGTTACAGCTTACAGTTCATAGGAACTATTGAACTTGAACTGTCGCAGGTCTAGTCTACGCAGATTATCACTGAAATACGTAGAAAGATGATATATCGTCTCGAAAGCCTGCTATTATTCAGTCTACGTACGTCATGGAGAGGTACAACGAAATGTAGATGAGGTACTCGTTGAGTATGACTGGAGTATGAGCGGAGTATGTCGGAGTATGACTGGAGTATGAGCGGAGTATGTCGGAGTATGACTGGAGTATGAGCGGAGTATGTCGGAGTATGGCTGGAGTATGAGCGGAGTATGTCGGAGTATGACTGGAGTATGAGTGGAGTGCTGGAGTATTGGAGTATCGCTGTTTCACCCTAGGGGCCTCGGGTGAAACTATGGGTGGATGTATGAGCGTGGGTGGAGTTGAGGGTGAACACATTAGTGGATGGATGAGTGTGGGTGGGGGCCGTGGATTGGTTCTCTTGAGAGGGTGTGTGGACGTGGGTGATTGGAATCGGTGATCGGCGACTCTGTTTCCGGAGTTGAGGATTATATGTAGGTTAGGTGTTCAGTTCTTGTCGATTTGTTTATAATGGAATATGAAACTGATGTGGGGTTGGGATGGCTAGGACTGGTGTCAGAAGGCAGTTGAAGTCGCTAGTATGTTCCAACTTTTATGGAGCAGAAACTGATCTTAGGAGTAATAAAAGAACGACAAAGAATCGTATGTATTAGGGTAGCTAAATGCACCGAAGGCGAAAAATAGAGATATCAAAAGATACATTCGCTAGAGTCAGACGTGTCAAATGTAATCCTAATCTATTGATTGAAACCTAAAAAGATATGGGAATTTGACAAAGACAAAGAAAGACAACTTTTGCGAGTAAGTGATGACTATTGTTGGTGTTCGTAGTAAATTGGGAATAATGGTAAAAAAAATTTTGTGTAGTTGAGTGTCTGTTCCAGTTGGGTTCATAAATCGGAGTTAGAGTTGCTTGTTCGCGGAGTTGCCGATTTCTGGATGGAATGGCGAGTGGTCTCGTGGTAGCGAAGTTGATGGACTGAAGTATGTTGGTGAGGGTGAAGATGCCTGGAAAGTGTCATTGACTTAGGGCAGAGTTAGATTGATGTTTGACGTTCTATATTTTTTACTCTTGTGTATGCTTCGTGGCACATTTGATATGTTGTGTATGGTTGTGAAGTTGTTCGATCGAAGTGGTGCCAGTGCTGATTGTATTGCGTCATCGTTTCTTTCTTCTTATTGCATATTGCATTGTTAGTATAAAATTAAGGTTTTTATATGGCTCTCCAAAAAGAGTAAGCAAAATTCCGTATTTTGTTTTCGAAAGTTGCTAAATAGATCTGCGCAAAACTTTTGAATTGTTTTTTCGTGTATGAAATTGTTAGATCAATTTGTCTCACTATGGGGACACGAAAACAAACCTGTCCTTCACAGTCGAGGGTTAAGTGAGTCGGTACGGTGAGCGCTACTTGTTTTCTCAGGCGGATACGCCAGGAAAAAACATAGTAATCGCGTTCCACACTGTAAATTAGACTTTTAACCATTGAAACAGGTGGTTACTAAGAAAATTTGTTGCAATCATCTGGTATTTCTCTTAAAAAATACATTGCATATCTTGCATAATGTGACCTTCGGATGTCTTTCGTTTCGTCCTCACCATCGATTACAATGATTCTGTATTGTTCGTAGTATTGAGTTACGAAATCGAACAATCTGTTTTCCCGAATTATGGATCCAAATACTATCAAATCGTATTTACGATGCAGAATATTTTGCTTTACAACTCGTTCGCTTGATAGTTCAGCTTTGTCTCGTCTCCAAAGATGTTCATAATTTCTCAGAGACAGAGCGTATCCATACCCTAGCCCGTAAAGTGCTTTTCTGTAGTAATTTCGAGTGTTGTTAAACGTCCACGTATTTTTAGATGAATACTTATACATGAACTCGGGTGGTTCATAAACATATAGATTCTCTTGAAATATCAACGTAAAGCCATGTAACATCAAGTCTTTCATATAATCGGGTGAGGCATGGGATATATAAAGAACAGAATTTCTCGCAGACATATTTTGATGTTGGGAATAGTTCACTGTTTTTAGCATGTATTCTGTCATTTTCCGGGTTGTTAAGCGGTGCCGTGAATAGTAGATTAATCGATGCAATAGGATAAAGTAGTGTGTGAAGTTAAAAACAGCGTGATCTAATTTCATTTCAGTTCTTTTAATACCATACATATTACGAGCGTCATTTAACAGAGACTTGGGCAAGTGAGCTAACGTGTAGCTTCCTGACTCATTCAGATTCTCAAAATATGGCATAGCTGCAGATGCTATAATTTCGTAATGCCTGTTGCAATCCCATCCACCTTTTTTCTTGGTAAGTGCAAAATACGCACTCATGTATTGCCGCTTATATTCGGCCTCATCACCAAATTGAAATTCATATGTGGTAAGATCGCCTGGTACTAATCGGCTAAACTCTCTACTTTTCTTGGGTATACATGTTTCATTCACCACCTGATGTTCATCCTCGTAGTAAACTGTATGAGAAATTGTGCCCAGAAGATATGTTTCGATGAAGCCAAAGGCTAATGGGAAATAATTAACCGTGTATGGCTGTCGAAGAAATGAAGCGCCGCTACTAATATTACTGTAAGTACATGTTTTAGGCGGTGGATACTGCGATATCAATTGATTGGTTTCATTATCCAGGCCTTTGTCGATAGCAATGTGAATGCGTTGTTCGGGCGATAAATGTTTGCCATGTATGGCTCCATAGAAATTCATACAAGTAACGACACACCACGGCTCTATACACGGAAAGTTTACTTCATTGTACTTCTGACTTCGTCGATCAATTAGATGACCTTGTTTTGACCCCGTTTGAATTTGTGCTGATTCCTCATAGGTATCCTTTTCGAAATAAATCACAGACAGGTGCATCATTAAAATTACTATTACACCACAACCGACGATTCGGCGTAACTCTAGATATCACAAAAACAGTGAGTATTCATTGTACATATAACAGTTGATAGCTTTCTTACTGTTTGTTCTTTTGTAATGTACCATTGGATCAAGTTCTATTCAAGAGTTTCAAATCTACTTTATTAGCTTCTCTACATGACGGTCATCAGAATGTTCAAAGTACAACCACGTAGGATACTCTAAAGTACACTGTACCATTTCCGGAAGATTTTAAGGTTCGAACACAATCTGATTTTATCTAAAACTTTTCAATTTCCTTAAAAATGGTTCTAGCCTTACAGAGAACAGCTCATGTTAGTTGCTTTACCTTCCACTATCTATTGGTTTTATATTTTATTAGTTATCCTTACCTTTTAACTGCCACTTACACCCCTAGCTTATTTTTAACTGCCTATTCTTAATCCTATCGTTAATCTATCCCTGGCTGCCTACATCTAAGTCCGCTCAATACCATCCACTTCGATTCGTAATTAACTTTATCCTAAACAGAATTCTTTTACGTCTATCTTTATCTTTACACCACATCTCATTCTTGACACCTACTTTAACTACTATAGCCATGGTTGTACTGTAGGAGGTTGCGAGATATCCTACCATACCAGATTATCATTCGACTTTTGTAAACAAAGATAATAGTAGTGAGAAGCTGAAATATTCTAGATCAAATTAACGTTGATTCAAAGAATTTCAGTTAGATTACTATTTTCGTTTTCCGACAGAAAAATCGAATTCTGATCAGGATAGGATGGAAATATAATCTTATCTCCCTGGCAACACTCACGCTCAGGTCTTTCAGAAACAGGAAGCTAAAATTTGTGAATGTATTTACACATGTATAGACTAATTTGATTTTGAGTCATCCGAAAATATACCACATTTCTATTGGTAGAAATAAACTTTGAAGTCACTGCTAAATAAAATGGATTTAAATTCAAGTATGAAAAGGAGCCTTTTATTCCTGTCCATGCTTAAAAGCAATATATTTTTAGTTGATTCATCTTTGAAGCGATATTTGTGACAATTTCTCTAATATGAGGCTGTAGGTGTGATACGATTTTTTCTCGTCTAATAGATTATTTCTATTTTGTACATTCTGACATACTTTGATATGACACCTGTTTGCGTTCTCTTCTGCACGAGCGAGTAAATCAACGCGTGTCTTGTATCAAAATGATGTCATGTACGAGGAAGAAGTAAATAAAGGCATAGTTTCATCCAGACGTGAGCAAGTGAAATCGAAAATTTTGCACATATAAGTAGGCGTTTTGTACGTTTTAGTATGAAATTTAGACTTCAAATTTACCAAGTTTCCAGCTAAAGACGATAGACAAACTCATAGACCCAATTAGTATCAGAGGTGAAAAGTCAAGCATATTTACAATAAAAGAAATCCGATGAATGATCTATCCTTATACTGTCTATTTCTGCTGAAAAACTCTTCAAGGGTCTTTGGTGTACTGATAAAGCCTTCAGAGGTATATTGAACATTGCGTTTATCAACCATAGGGTACATGGGTATTTAACTGGTACATCACATTTACGAAAGCGTTTTTACGAAGGTATTTCAGCGTAAATGTCTGTTGTTGAGCGTTGTAACAACAAACTTTATTTAAGGTGATTCGAACTGCCTTTATTTCAACAAAACCTTTCCTTTTATGTTGGTTCCCTCTCTTCTCCTTTTTTGAGTGCATCGGTCAAGCGAGAACAGAGAGAGAGAAACACGAAGAAAAGAAAACAATCATTAGATGAACTGCTGAAGATGAACGTGCTGTGAGACGAGGTGAATAGATACAGGGTATAGAAAAATTATAAGCCCCCCCTTAGACATGCATTGAAAAATCGTTGTTTTACTTCCGAAATAGAAAAACTTTCAACGCAATCCCTAACGGGATTAAAAATGTGAAACATGATCCAACTGGAGAAACTTTCAACACATAGAATTGTCAATTTACTTTCCAGTGTCCATTCCTATTTGTTCCCTTTTCTGAAAGAAAGGGTTATAGCGTTCTAAATTCGGTGGTTCAAAAGCTAAAAGATTGTGAGTTTGCCCAATCCAATCAGGTTGCAGCTTTATATAAACCAATGAAACCTTAGAGATGACCATACGGAAATGATTCACCTGAGGTAATCAAGGTCGAGGATCACGAATCCGACATGAGTTTTTCCGTAAAAACTATCTATCCTGTTTTTGCAACAACGGTTCACTTTTTTGCAAAACGATATTTTTTTATAAGGGTTGACCGAAGGGTTTTCGGGGTCGAGGAACTCGAATCCGGTGTTAGTTTCTCGAAATTCCAATTAGCTCATTAGCTAATTAACTAATGAAAACAAGTAACGCGGTCTAGTAGCCGCTAAATCCTCTACTGAAAGGATAGTATTAGAGCGCCACTATTCATCCAAAGAGAGAGAAATGTTATTTCAGTTGAACGATCTGATCGTTTGATAATTTGTCAGGATGTTTTACCTAGACCAATTTCGCTTCCTGAAATCTTCGGAGATTATAACGCCTAGTCGTTTGCCGGCCTCTCTCCGGTCGACCACTAACCGCTAGCCGTTGGTACCTAATGAGTGTTTAATGATATTTTCATATTAAAAAGTTCCTCGTTCTTGTTGAGTCCGTCTCTAGCAAAGTTTCCGAAATTCCTCACAACTTCGTCACCTACAGTATATCTTTTATTATCATTTTTAGTTGAATAAGTCGATGATCTACATAGTTTTTTCTCGAAGCTCGAAAAGAGGTCATATATATATATATATACCTTAGAAAAATGATGGACACTTTGCGACAGTCTTATAAATCTCACTTTTCAAAAGAAACAACTAGTCGTTCGTCGGCCTCCCTTCGGTCGACCACTCACGGTTAGCTGTTCCCATGCGTACTCATTTTACTATCTTAACCTCATTCGGACGAAGACGCGTTCCGAAAACGAGCACATTTCGGAAAACCAATTCATAATCAAAAACTTAGAAAATTTACAGAACTATATGATTCTCTGGAAAAGGTTTCAATCTTCTGTCCACCACGAGGAACCTTAAATAGCTGCCACCTATGTTCGTGCAGAGCAATGATTAATTTCTGACCCAGAAATCCTAAAACTCTATAAAAATCACAAAGTTTGTTCTTAAAAATATTATTCTGCAAATCGACGACTAGTCGCTCGTCGGTCTCCCTCCGGTCGGCCGCTCGCGGCTAGCCGTTACATGTAAGGTTGGCGACAGGCAAAAGTGGAGCAAATTTTTTTTTGTTGAATTTTTTATGTGATATGATGCAGTTTGATGCGCTGAATCCGAATATGTATAATTTATTGCCATAGAAAGTCGTCTTCGAGGAGAAATCTTCAAAATACTACAAAAACGGAGGGTTTCG